TCATGGAAATTTTATCGTTTGACGTCGCACTTTTACGAAAACAGCCAACATCTAGAATAATACATGCTGTCTATTTTCACGCTGCCTGCCAGAAGAATTTTCGAATTCCTAAAGGGATTCACTACTATTTACAGTGGTGGGAAAGAGACCATCGGTTGCAGGTAGCCAACCAACGAGTTTTCGTGCTAGCAATTCGATAGTCAGGCATTAAACTCCATTTGCTGATGAAAAAAATCAGAAATCGTGCGCGAACGCACAAAAGCATGTATATTTCGGTGGATGAAACATGAGAGCATGTATTATTCTAGATGTTGGCTGTTTTCGTAAAAGTGCGACGTCAAACGATAAAATTTCCATGAATAATGATATATACTTAGTAGTATTAGGTATTAAGAATAATACAAGAAGAAAAAACATTGTTGATATCTTTTGCTTGTGTATACAGCCTTAACAGTGTTGCTCAGATTGAAGATAAGAACAAGATCAAACGGTCTCATCATCATTTTTTATATGAAATGACGCCGTTTTTTTTTCTCTTTCTATTATGTCTTTTTGAGAGATGTAGTTACATAAACATGAAGGCAGATCATACGTTTATTCAAACAAACATTTTCTTTTGTAATCTATCGAATAGCATTGTTATTTGAAGGTCACAATAATCTTCAATTTTTCGAATATATCAACCAAAAAAATCTAGAAGAAAATATTTGTTATATAAAATCTACATATTTCTGGTTTATTAATTTATCGTTTGAAAAGTTTCTTTTCAATAATAAAAAAAGGTGTTTCAAAAAACATAGTCACTAGAATTGCTGCAGCATAACTAAAAAATATATGTGAAACAAAATTATTGACAACAAGATGTCCTTGATAATATAAAGGCATTGTTTGATTGAATAAAATGATAATAATAATAGTAGCATGTACGAGATAACATGAATAATTAAGTTTAGCAAAAGGAGACCAAATAGGCCATGAAAGAATTTTATTGACTATTCCACCTTGATTTGTACTACATAAAAACAAAATCCATCCAATAACAATTGACCAAAGTGTTCGTGATAATGTTTGATATGCAACAAGTTCTGATCGACTTAGACCAGATACAAGAATATAATCAGGATATGTCACAAATAAACAAACTAATGCAATCACAATCATTAATACTGTTACAAAATGTTTAATATATTTATTAATTCGATACTGACGACCAACATTGATAACAAAATATCCACTTAACACACCAACAGCATATGGAGATATACGACACCAAGGTTTTATATAGATATATTCGAAGAAGTTAGGACCATTCTATATAAAAAAAAAAGCAATGATCTGATATAATAACCATCATTAGTTTTACAAACTTACGGTATTCGCGAATCCATTCATATCATCCAATGATATTTGAGGATAGTAAAGTAGAATACCTAAAATTGATCCACTTCCAAGCAACACTAGAAGAATAATAATGAGAAAAGAGAATGATTTTCGTCTCAGAACAAATGGAATTAATGATAATGGTGCAATCCAATGAAACTGCATGTCATTATGAAGATACCATGCAACAGCTAAACACATATTCTCTGGTTTCATGAAATTCCCAACATAAAGGATAGATGTCCACCAATATTGAGATCGACAACCAGTCGATTCAAATCCTTCTTGTTTTGGATAGATAGGACCATGACCAAAATATGGTGTTAAATTAATACTTACAAGAACCATCAAAAGAAATGTTGGTGTCAATCGAATATATCGATGAATATAATAAAGAATCATTAAACGAAACGATAATTTTCCTTCTTTTTCTACTTGTCGAACAAATAAGACTGCTGTTAAGAAACCACTAAGAACAAAGAATGTATCAACACTAAGAACTCCACTAATAATCAATTGAAAAAATATATTACGAGTCCAACTAAGTACATCTACTACATTAATTGAAAATGAAAAACCAAAGATTAATGAATGACCAATAATAACCCAAAATAAAGATAATACTCGAATACCATTGATAAATACAAATGAATTCTCATCATTCTTCTGTTTCATAGTAAATATTCGACGAAGAGTTTTTAGAGCAGAAAATTCAGCTAAGAATAATGTATGAGGTGTAGCATGGATCAATGTTTGAAGTGAATATCGTGATGATTTTATTGATGCTTGTTCAGATGTCTCCGTATTGATGAAATGAGTATATCCATTCATATGTGAAAGCATATTATCATCTCTCGACATAAGAATAAGATCAATGACTGTTCCTATCAAAACAAGTAAACCCAAAATTGAGAGAATAACAATAGTTGCAATTGCTCCATGAGTAAGACTTTTTTGTCCATTAGGAGGATCATTTGAACAAACAACATTATCTTCTGTAATATTACTTTTCTTGAATAGTGTATGAATCAAAGAAACAACTGCTTGTCGATTACATGATGATGGAACACAAATACCAAGAATAAGAGAAAGCGTTGGAGTTGGAATTAGTGCAGATGTTTTCGGTGCAATAGTGCCTAAATAAACTTTCATATTATATTTAATATATACATAAATTTACTCACAATGTTGTGTATCAAATGGTTGCGATAGAAATGTTTTGTTATTGGGTAAATACATTGATTGTAAACATTCATCATAATTACCAACCCAATATAAATTTCCTTTCAATAGACTAGATGGTAATGGTTTTCCCCAAGCATCGAATACTTTCAATGCCCATGTATCATGTTTTAATGCTGCTTGAAGAAGGATTTTAAAATCTTGTTCACATTGAGTTGTTTGGTTATTAGAAAAATACATGTAGTTAAACATTTGTTCAAGAGTAAAATTGTTTGGTACATGATCAATTAGATTTATAGACGAAAAGTGTCGATATTGATGTAATCGATGAATGGTTCGATCAAATCGCAATGGAATGATCTGAGAAAGTGTATTTGAAAGTAAGAAACAAAACAACAAAGAAACAACAGTCAACATCTCGAACTACTGACGAGTTCGTATAGTATATGTCGTTATATAATATGAGGACAATGATAACGATATTGATAAGAAAAAAAATCGTTGTTATCATCTTTGAAAAATGACATGGACAAAGTTAGATTTTATTTTATTCAAAATTAGACATTAGGAATCCAATGTAATTGTAATAAGTCCTTCTCCCAATGATAATGATGGTACAAAAAATTATCGTTCAACAAGTATTGATATTGAAAGACCGTTTCGATTTTTAGCAATAATTATATTTATAATAGATCGAATTGTAAATAAAAATAAAAGAATCAATGTTGAGAAAATAACTCGACGCATAGTGAATTTGGTCGCCATCATCAAAGAGTATAGAAATTCTCCGCAGAAAATATTCAAATAAAAATATTTAAAATAATTCCACTTAAAATAGGATATCATGATGAAGATGATGAATCAATATCTATTTCTAGCGGAACACGATCGACACGTGAAATATGAACATGAAAAATAAATCGTTTAAGATCCGACGAGGCAAAGGGTGGGATGTGGATGCGGGTTAAGATCAGAGCAACACTGCAACCACATTCGCACCCTTCTTGTAACTAGAATTAGACTTTTCAGAGATCACAGAACGATGTAGAATGAGGATATGGATTTAGGTGTTGCTGTAATCTTAATTTGATACCTACATCCACCGTCGTGAGAATCGAAATTCTAATCTTGGATGACAAAAAATAAACAAAAAGAGTAATGTAATAGAAATCAAATACGTTAAAAGTAGTGAATATGGATAATTTTTTTTTTTTTTTATTAACGCTTTATTTATTTATTATGACGAATTCACCATATGGCGCTGACCGTCTTATCAAGAGTAAGGCTTCTAAATACTACGAACTTAAAACATAGATTAACAAAAATAATCAACCCTTCAGAAAGAAAGTGCATACAACAATAAGGAATGACCTAAGTAAAGACAAATCCACATAGGTGATCGAAAAAGGTACGACAATCTTTATCAAGAAAATATAGGAGACTTTTGTTTGGTCGGCTTGACGGCATATAACTCATATGTCCTTGGAAGGAACAATGGTTCTAACGCCGTTTGCATCAGTATTTGTGTTGGACAGGCGTAGCTCGGGT